CCTCAAGGATGATTGCTAGAGTTCAGCAAGACTTAGGAAAATAAATCATGGGGCCCAAAATTACAAACCCAATAAATGACATGTGCACATTGACTAATAAAAAGGTACTTAACGCAGCAAAAAGAAGAATGATGGCATCACTTTAGAGCTACCTAAGAGGAGTGAACACAGGGCTGCATGTGTGCTCTATGTGTGTGTGGTAGAGTGACTCAAGAAGACTAGACCCCTCCTTAGCAAGCAGGCAATTCCAAAAAACAAAAAGCATTCATGCATATAACATATTTTCCATTACCTTCCCCAAAGTATTTGCAGAAGTACAAGATTGGGTAAAAGTCTTAAGTATTTGAATGCCTGTGCTGTATTGCCTAGTTGCTTTCAATGTTTTTTTAAATTATACTTGCCAGAAAGAGCAAATTAGTTTCACTACCACATCGCTATACCAGCTATTACTGTTTTAAATTCTTGTGTTAATTGCTATAAGAAAAAAAGTTTTTTAAATATTTGAAAGTCCTCAGAATGAACTATTTAAACTAGAAAGCTACTTCTTTTAAATAAAAATCCACCAGATTCCAAAGGTATTAGAATGTCAATACATAGTATTAAAGGGTATCTTATTGTATCCATTCAAATTTAAATTTATTTCATTACCTAAAGAAATTAAGTGTCTTTCTATTTCTCTACTTGTTTCTTTTCCTCTGTAGAAAATAATTTGTGTCCTTTGCCCATTTAATAATTAATAGCTTGATATTTTCTCATCAGTTTTGTATAGCTTTTATCCACTACAGAAATTAATACAATCACCATTATATTTGATACAAACAGCTCCATGTGATTTTTACATTTTAGTTATTTTTATTATACAGAATTCTGTGCTCAATTTTCACATAATTGCATCTACTAATCTCATTATTCTATCAATCTTAAATTTAAATACTATTATCCCAACAATAGTCTGAATAGGTAACATTTTTAAATCTGTGATTTTTTTTTTACAGATATGCCAACAAAATAATTAGGGAAGATAGTCTAAGACTGGAAAATCATTTGGTGTTTTTTCCATTATTATAGTAGGTCAATTATCTATAAGGAGGATCCATTAAAAAACGCAAGTACTAATAGCGATGTGATGTGTCACATGAGTTAGTGGTTTGTGAAAAACTGTCCTAACTTGATTTGGGCCACTATTATTTAAGTGATCATTTTCACTTATTTATTGACTCCTCGATTTTCTACATTTCCTGACTAAAAGATTCAACTTACTTAGAATTTGTGAAGGCACGTGAATACAAACAAGGTAGATAATGCAGGAAGTGAACATTCCGTGTTCGGCACAAAAATCTTCTGATTCTTCCACACATCACAATATTTTACTTTCTTAGTCTTTTTTATTTAAATAAATCTAAAAGATTTATGATTTAAAGCAAAGCTGTTTATTCATTTACCGGGTTTCCTTTTGGTCCGCGGTCACCTTTAACACCGGGGTTTCCATGGGTACCCTGAAGGCAAAGGGCAAAACATATTATCTTGAGCAACTATTCTATTAATTTTCTATATTTTATTATAGTAATTTTTGATTGTCAACATCCCATAAATTGAAAGAATATTATAAAACCTTCACCCACCAAGCAGATATCAAACTCTTTTCAATCTTTTACAATTTACTGAGAAAATTCTACGATCTTGAATAGATAGATTTGTTAGATTTGCTAAAAGAGGATGTCTCTTCCTAACAGTATTTCTTCCCTCCAAACAGCTACTGTTCACTCATTTTGCTAACAACATCAAATTCATACCAAAAGTCAAAAGAATCACCAAACAGGTAGGAAAACAGGAGTCCCTCCAAACCTGACTTCAATTTGGACACTTACTCTGGCTTCTCCTACACACTTCCTCACTTTTAAAAGGACCAAGCCAGTTTGCCTACGTTTAGCCTAAGAGATTCTGATTTTCCAAGAACACTCTCTAAAGATGGAAGAAGGGACCCCTCCAATCCTGTTCCAGAAAAAAACAAAACATTTTGTTCATCTATTCACAAGTTACCAAAATGCTTTCTTTTCTAAGAACTGTTTGGTTTTTTGTTTTGTTTTGTTTTTTATGTGTTTGGTAAAGGGTCTCACTACGCAGCTCAGACTCATAGTGATCCTCCTGTTTTCAGTCTTCCCAACGCTGGGATTATAGGCGTGGCTACCACACCCGGACTCTGGCTACTTAGAGCACCAAGGGGAGGGCCAGTGCAGTACCTGTATTTGCCTAAGCAGGACTTAGTCCCTTGAGCTATCTTGCAGGCTCTCTAAGAACGGTTTTTAGGGGCATTCGATTTTAGGGGCATTCAATACATATTAAGCACCAGCTCTCTGGGCTATGTAATCATGACAATATTGACTGATTGAAAACATCAATTAGCTCAGCAATTGTAATATTTCTTACTGTCACTATTTATTTTAAAAAATAATTGGCTATCTCTTGGCCTGACAATCTCTTGGTGTATTAAGTACAAACTAAAACACAACAGCAAGGGAAGGTTAGATCTTTGCTTTAGCCAATGTCAACTCTACTGGATGCCACAATATCATAGGATGTACCTAATATTTTTTATTTTGAGTGCAAAAAGAGGACAATCTTCCCCTACTCTTCAGTGCCTTGCTTAGTAGAGTGATTTGAAGAAACAGACTTTGGTCTGAAGTCTTGAGGTAAGATGTGTTGTATTGGAAAACATTCATAATGTGCATTCCCCTTCCTGTCTCTAATACAAGCATTAGTTCAAAACTTCTAACTACTAATTCTATGGATAAGGTTTTGTGAAACATCATACTCAGGTTTCTGAATTCTATGGATAAAGTTTAGAATCACACCAATAAATGAAATACTGAATGAGTAGCCAGGATGCTTTCTGATTATATCTGTCAGAGAAATGTTCAGAATCTCCAATAATCCTGATGTCATTTCAGATGTTTTCTAACTATGAACATGGAAACTACCAGATACTACGCCAAAAATGCCAAAGAAGAGCTCCTATGGGGATGATCTTTCCAATGAATGAATCATCATAGAAAATTCTGTCACTGTCTTGGGTTACCAGATGAGTACTTCCCGTTCACAGATTTCACCTTACCCTCACAGTGTCCTCACCAGGCCCCCCTTGTGCAGCCACATGGTGTTGCCACTGTAAGACAGAACTGTGGCTCTTGTTTTCAGTGGGATAGAGCTTTGATGACTTTGCTTTCTGTTTTGGTTTGGGGAAATTCTGGCCCCAATTATCAAATAAGGAATGACCACTGAGAAGTCCTTCCTGAAGACAACTCCATCATTGTTTTCTCACTGCCTCCTTGGCTGTAAGTTCTGAATAATGATGTACTCACAGGAGGCCCTGGGTCACCTGGATCCCCCTTCTCACAGTCACAAATCTTGCGTTCACACTGGATCCAAAAGGAAACATGATGTTAACACACAGTGACATATAGTATAAAGGAACATTTCAAATTTTATCCAGCATATACCTAATTGGACCACTTGGAGAAAGATCATCTTATAAGTATATGGAGATTTTACTGTCTCTATGAAATTATTCTAGACAAACTCAGCCTAGTGGCAGCCAGCTGCTGAGGTATTATTAAATTTTTCCGTGGTAAAATGAAATATATTTATACCAAAGCAATTGTATATATGTATGTATATGTATACATGTACACACACACATATATATGTCTATAGAGAGATGTTAAAATAGAAAAATGAAGAATAAATATTTTCAGTGGACTTTTGAATTTCTACTTTCTTTTCTAACATCAAAGCTCAACAATATAACAATATTGAATTCCTCTTTACTTAGCAAAATAAAACATCTGACTTATGCCATATTTTATCCGTAGTAAGATGAATATTTCTAATCCTAACATCACTGAAATCAGAATGAGTCTTCTAATAGCTGTCTAGGGCCAAGGAGATGGCTCAGCAGAATAAGCGCTGCCCTGAAAGCGCAAGGGTCTGAGTTCAATCCCCGGTTCCGCAAAAAAAAAAAACTAATAGCTGTCAAGCAACCCCAAACATGTCAAATTCATTGGTTTCTGTACACATACTTCTAAACATAATAAAACAGAAGACAATGCCTAAGAACTCTTAACAAATGCTGCCTCCTATGTTTTTAATGGTGCAGGGGCAGTATATTGCACGTAAAAACATGGTTATCACCAACTCACAAAAATGTGATACTAAAGGTTTAGGTGTTGATGGGAAGTTTTAGAAATAACCACTTTTTTCTGCTTGTATTTGTACTTAGGTGTATGTACTAAAGGAATTCATAAACAAAAACTCTATACCTAAATAAATATACAGGAACTTTTTTCATGTGTAAAATAAAAATTGTAATGAATCAGAACGTATTTATATCATAGTTTAATTGGCAAGGATTTTTCCTTTCTTGATGATACATAAAATAGTGGTCCAACTGACCATGTACAACTCAGTTAAAGCTGATGATTGACAAGGTTGAATTGATTTCTATTATTTTATAAAATAATGCTTGTAAATGTCCTGATGTTTAAAAAGCAGCTTACTGAATGAAGTTGAGAGATTTGAAATTCTTTGCTTTAAGAAATGTCCATCTAGCTCAGAAATTCTTGCCAAATTCATGATCATCCATTCCACTGTCTTATCCGACTGATTACTGATGACTACCTTCCTTTGCCATGAGCTCGGGTTGCCACTCTTAGGCTTCCTTTTCTTCAAAAGAATGAGCTTAAAGTGATCATCAATATGCTCAGCAAGGGGTGGTTTTAAGTTTTGTCTTAACACCACAAAGGTTTCTTAAAGTAGAAGCCTTCCATAAGAAGCTAATGTTGGAGTTATGGTTAGAATAAAGGAAGCCATATCAAAGTAAGCAAAAGCCACACCATTTAGTTATCATTGATTTCTAAAATCATATTCTGAATCATTAAATAGTCTCTACATTTTCTCAATTTTCCAACCAGCAGTAGGTATGGTGGCATTAAAGAAAATTAGATGTCTACCTCAAAATAGAGTACCTGACATTAAAAGGAATTAAGCATTTTGATTTAGTCACACCTTATCTTCTAATGTGAATTATAATGCTGATTTGATAATGTACACTTTTAGAGTGATTCTCTGCAGTCAACACAGGTGGTGCTTGCTTACCTTCTTTTCAAACAAGATATCCTACAAGAGAAAAAAGAATGAAACATTAACTCAATTAATGGTTCCACTTCGAGTTTCTTATTAGTCTTAATTGTTCCCTATGGGACATACAATTTCTAAGAAGAATAGCAATTCAGTCTTTTAACCTTGTAAAAGCAATAAAGCCTACCAGTCAACCCCACAAGGAACGCTTCAACTGTGTAATAACAGGAGACCTGAAGGGCACTGTCTCAGTTACTCTTCTCTCATTGCTGAGACTAATTCCTGACACCCAAAATGAAGGAAGGAAAGGTTTGTTTAGCTCATAGGTAGTGGAGGTTTCAATCCACACTCAGCTGGCTCCAAGGCAGGATGCAAATGGCACAGAGCAGCCATCCATGGGAGCAGCCAAGAGCAAGAATAAAGGGAGAAGCAGCAGCTGTGGCAGCTAGCTGGTCTCTTTGCCCTGCTTACACTGTAATGCAAATTATCCACCCCACGGCCAGGGTGTGGAACTCAGATCTGCAACCCCAGCAATGGATCAAGAATCAATCATCAAACTCCAAAAGCCACCCCATGACCACATGAGGCTTTGGAGGGGACAACTAGAGACAAACCATGACAGGCACTAACATTAAGAATCACTGATTTCTAGGAATCTTAAACATTCTGTTTTATCTTTGGTTGTTTTGGGGTTTTTAGCAGCTCTATAATCTCCATAATTTAGCTACAAACTTACCCAGTCATAATGAGCAGTTCTCACTCATGCAAAGACTGAGGCAGAATACCTCATTGTGTATTTTCTTTTCCTCTATTTTTTTCCTTCATTTTTAGCTTTAAAACATTAATTCTAGAGTTATAATTTCACTTAATAATTGTATTAAATATCCGAAAGTGAAACAGCCTGATGGCACATTTCAGATTATCTAGGTTATGGAATGACAAAGATTTCCATTACAAGATTCACTAGGAGGAAGAGTTTTCTACTTAAAATTTTAAAAGCCTCAAATATGACACTGTATTTACAAAAGTTTCACAGAAAACTAAGCTTTTAAATTTTAACAATATTGCTGGGATTTAGGTCAGTGACAGTGTATCTGCCTGGCAAGTACAAGGCCCTGAGTTCAATACCAGTACCAAAAACAAATTTATTTACTTATTTATTTATTTGTTTTAACAATATTTTTTTCTGTATTTTAGGGAAAGAGCTGCAGGGTGTTCAGGTCTCACTGCTAGATTAGACTCATACTGATTCTCCTGTTTACAGCCTCCCAAGAACTGGGATTACCAGCACGTGCCACCACGCCCAGTCTCAATTACCATCTATCTCAGCACGCTCCGGGTATTTTGACAATATTAAGAATAATATTTTATAGAAAATTTGAACTGTGTATAGCAATTTGCATTGCATCAGAGAAAACAAATCTATAACTTAACTACTTCAGGGGAAATTTTATTTTATTTCTTCCTTTATTTTTTTTTTTTTTACATATGTAGTTTTATTATAAAAAAGCAACTTGTACACTTTGAACATTTAAAATTGTGCATCACCTTTCCATTTCCATTGAAAACAAAATAAGAATTTAAAAATAAGCCAACAAAATTACAATAGAGAATGTCAATTCCAAATAAGACCCTACAGGTTCTGTTAATTCTCCCATTGAGTGGCAGGGCTCATGTCATCATTAGGAGAGAGTTTTATTTTTAAAATGTCATTTTAAACTGCAAGGATGTCTGTTAACATCACAATTAAACATGCCAAAGGAGAAGCCATGTTGTCAAATGCCCACTTAACCCACTCAAACATCTCAACCCCACCCTTTGCTCACCTTCTATACACCATTTTTTAAAAAAATTTTAAATCTTTTTTTAAACAACAGAAAGTAGATACATGGTGGTAAATGCTAACTGTCCATATTCACATAGAGACACAGTGTAATCTCTGAGTCCAATATACAGAGAGAGGAGGAAGAAAGCTAGAATTCCACACACTACTACGCAGGGGCCGAGCACCCTCCAGCTTCCAGCAGAGCCAAGAGCGCGGGGCGGAAAGTTTTCTTTGTTTTTCCCCCACAGAGCACAGTGGTGTTGATTCCAGAAAGTTTGTGGAGACAGGAGGGGATCGGAATGAACTGAGAACAGAAGGCTGTGGAGATCCTTGTCCCACTGCATTCTGCAGGGTTTCTCTCCATAAAGTAAATTGAGAACCATGGTGTTTGAGAAGAGAGAGCTCAAGAACGGGGTGACTGAGCTCAAGTGGGGAAAAAAGACAGCAACTTGCTCCCAGGGACTGCAGAAAATGAAAAATAAAAATTTAAAAAAGGAAAAACAAGAAAGTTGGAATCCGTCAGTATTCAGTTAGTCATCTTCTCCTTCGTCCTCCTCACCCTCTTCGTCATCCTCGTCCCCCTCACCCTTGTCCTCATCTCCCTCCTCATCAATGTCCTCCAGCCCCTCCTCCTCCTCCTGGTCATTGTCCTCCTCTTCCCCCTTGGCCTCCTCGTCATCCATGTCGGGAACCAAGTAGTGCTGCAGCGGGTTGGGTCAGATGTCGTCCTTGATGACCTCTCCCAGCTCATCTGCACCCACATCCCAGTGATCAGTGAACCAGGTAAAGAAGCTCTCGGGCTCTTTGTGCCACCTCTTCCTACTGGCTCTATTCTGAATTTGACTTGAACGTTTCGTCAAATCGTTTCCAGATTTCCATTTGATTTCATTGGACTTTGAAGACGGATCACCACTCTCACTGAGATGAAATTCTTTGGAGAGAACTTAATTTTCAAAGTAAGGATTTTCATCAAAATAAAAATCTATTCTGTAACTTGATTTGATACCTTCAAATTCTGTCACTTCAACTCTGGTCAAATAATACAAAGCTTCCTCGTCTTGTTCCCCAAGCAGCATGGACACTTGTGGATGGTTAACAAATGTTGTTACCCCAAAACTTGGGATTTTGGCGATCAATTCTGACCTCTTCTGAAAAAATCGTTTGTGGAGTTTGTTATATTTCTGTTCTACTTTCAATATTTCTTCACTGGCTTGTTCATTAAGTCTATTTCATTTTGTACTTTATTAGTGTGCTCAATTGCTTCTTGTTGCTCTCTTTCTCCCTTCGACAGGCCTGGCGAGGCCGTTGCTGCCTCGGGTTTGGGGCCCGGAGAGAGTCGGGCCTTCTTGGTTGGAGGAGTGAGCGAAGACTGGCGCTTGGGAGCCATGACCCAGGGAAGGCCCTGCTCCAGGAGAAGGGTCCTCTCCTGCCGCAAGAAGCTGCTCAGGAGCCGGAAATTTTAAATGATGGAAAAATAAAACACCTTTCATAGTAAAAAATGACCATTATGAAATATATGCATATATATCATACCCGCAGTAAATATATCATATTGTATGTATGGTCTAGAAGTTGGTTAGGTCCAACCTCTCAGTGTATAAGAAGGCAATAGAATTGGAGCATAGCGATGACTTTGTTGAGGTCACACGTCTGGGGACAGTCTCCCGACAATTTACAGGGCCATGTCATCCTCATGTACCCAGGAATGAATTAACCAAAGCATTTTTCAAAATTCTTTTAAATTCACAATTTTACAGAAATATCATGGTCTGGCTTTTTCTGGTACATAGGCCTCCCCAGGCCCTGCAGCTCAGTGGCCTTACTGCCTGACAAATGTGCTGCACACCGTGTGGGGAGACAGCGTGAGACAGAAACTAACCAATGCTAGCAGATGGGATTGGCCTTTCCTGAAATAAGAATTATGTGCTAATTCAGTAATTAAACTCAGAGGTAGCTTACGTATGATAAAATAGAAATCTAAAGAAAAAACCCACGAGAATATTTGCTATAAGACATTAAAAATTATAAAGAAATCAAAGATAAGTCTGAATGTGCAATCTGGATGGAAAGGATTCAAAAGTTTTTTGCTTTGTGTTTATTTACATGCAAATTAATAAGTCATGTGGATTTGGTCAAGTCCAAGTAATTTTTCCCATATACTGCATAAAAAGGGGAAATTTTGACCACATGTTCTTAGGAGCTACAAAACTCTGGACATCGGCGCTTTTTATAAAAACTTAAGTCTGACCTATTACCTCTCCAACGTGATTTTAAATTCCTTGCCATATAAGGCCAGGCTGGAAACAGATGAGATACTTGACTCTTTAAAAGCTAGTAAGTTACCTTGGTCTTAACCATCCAGCAGAAAAGTATGAAGACGAAATAGAGGAAGTAGAGCCATGCTGTTATGTTGAGCTGTGGGGGACTCAGGTCAACAATTTCTGACATTGCCAGTTAAACAGAAGACCCAATGCTATGATGGGCTACTGGACTCTTTTAGAATATTTTGCTGAATTTACACCCCTATAATATTCAATAACGGGAACTTAACAAAAAAAGTGGATGCAGATGTATGTCCATTTTGTATCTGTGTATCCAAAGTGGTTGGGATAGATATATAGTTGCATTCTCTTAATGAATAGAATGATTTGTTCTAATGGTGTTTGTAAATAGGATCTCAAGTCTGCATCTTGTACAGCAATTAACCACTAAGAAGAATATATGCAGTGTGTTATTTGTTGAAACTGTACTTACGATTTGATTTGAAACTGTCTCATTGCTGTTTGTCAATAAAATTTTGAAAAAAAAAAAGCTAGTAGGGCATATGGAGAAATGGGAACTCAGACACACGGAGGTCCCAGTACAAGGTGGTACCGCCCCCTTCACAGTGTTTGGTGCTGCCTGCGATGCGCGCAACGTGCTTGCAAGCTTATCTCTAGACTGCCAGGACAATTCTTGTTTTCACGGTGTGTTCATCTATTCCTTCCAGATAAGCCCTAGAGATATTCTTACCCTTGCACGTTTAAACAGTCATTGTTTTACCCCCTGCAAATAAGTTTATTTCAGTGTGAACTTATGTGGTTTTTTAGGAAAAAATAAAACAAAATTTCATAACCAAATGCTAAGAGAATAACAGCAGTTAGTATACTGTGTATCACTGTCTTTAAAATAGTTACTCAGAGTACAAGACCTATTAACAGTAAAAAGTTCAAAATAAAACATCCATCAATAGTGGAATGGATCAATAAATGAAATGCTGTTGAGCTGCTAAGGTAGATGCATGGATTTCTATAATGCAACATAACAAATTTTTAAAACATTGAGTGAAAAAGCAAGTTGCAGGTGGATACGTACAATATAATTGGAATTCTGAAAATACTTAAAACAGACATCAGAAGCTTTTTTTTTTTACCATGGGGAAGGAGAACTTAAAAAGAAACTCCAAAGGAGCTCATGAAGGCAATTTTTAGAACTTTGATAAATCAAGTAAAATTATTAATATTTGAAAAGAACTACTCAAAATTTTTAAATTCCAAGTTCGTCATTTTTATAACATTTTTACAATAAACAATATATTTACCAGTTTTTAAATTCATTAATTTACGTTTTGTCTTTTATATAATTTTATACTCTTTCAACTTTTCCCTTAAAGATTAGATTTTTGTTTTGCTTCATTTGCTCCTTAAAAATATGTGTCATAAGGTTTAAAACAATAACACAAGTAACTATTTTTGAAACTCATTTGATTTTGTGTTTGTTATTTCTATGGAAACAAAAATGGAACTAAAACTACACAATGGATAAGGCTGTTTCACACAAAGAACAAAGTCCCATCCCTAAGGGCACTTACATTCTATAAGCCCCATGGACAGAGGACAACACATAGCAGTGTAGGAAGGAGGCTCTGGGCCAGAGATGGGGCATTGAGTAACGAGCTGGTTTCTTGGAATAGGTGGCATTTCTGAATGACTTGCAAAGGACCAACTCACTGATGGTATGCTTCTCTATATGTCAAAGTTTATGAGGAAAAGAGTCCTAAAGACTAGTGTGGGCAACAAGACAAAGGAAGCAGTGAGGAGGGACATTTAACAGGAGTGGACAGAAGGCTGAATGCCTTGGGAAGTAGTGAGGGCCTCCGTGTAGGCAGAATCAGGCTGTCAGGACAGCAGCTGGGAGCCCAGGGTCCAAGACAGAGGGAAAATCTCATTTAGTTATGGTCTAGTTGGATCATGGAGTTTCAACGAAGAGCACAAATAGAGAAAGACCACCATTAGAGTGAAAGGTACAGTTCATCACAAGTCACATTTTTATGATATTGCATACGTCAGTGGAGAAGGATAGAGTGGAACTGTCAGATTTGTGGAAGAGTATAAGGTCAATGCCAGGAACAGGTTGAAGAAAATGTAAGAAAGGGACAAGGCGGTGGGAACCATAGTAAATAGGACGAGAGTAAAGCACTTAGTGGGCCATGGTAACAAATTCCGTGACCATGAAACAAAGCCCTTACAGCTTAATCTAGTATAGTAGCAGAACTGCTAAAATACAATTGAGAAAGAAAACCTACCTAAGGCTTGAAAGAAAGCTTTGAGAAATGAGAAGGGCTGCATAATTAGTAAATAAAACATATGACTCTAAAGATGATAAAGAAATTACCAAATTAATTCCTGACATACTAAGGGCCATACCATAAACTTTGCATTTTTATTGAAAATCTTCAGAAAATGAAGCTAATTTGTCACAACTTTTAGTCCAAAAAATTACATTAAAGGTAATAGAAGAATTTTTTTCAATTTTCACAAATTTTCTCTTACTTTTCTAAAGGCCCAAGTAATACATCTTAGACATTGGGTGGAATTTGCTTCAAATGTTTAAATACAACTACGTAAATCATAGTAAATGAATAATAAAAATATTTTTGCACATTCCCTTCATCTAGAATTTTTCTTTCTCTTGTGTACTTTAGAACGGAAGTGTGTCCATGAAGTTCTTACGTGATACTTCCTACTATAGCTGTCAAAGGGATATAGAATTATGAAGGACAGTGATTATATGATTTATCTTGGCACCTGTGCAACCTATTATTTTGAACAATCGTGTCTCTTAAAATCAACTAGATTCTCCCCTACAATAAAAAGTAATGCACACATTACTGATTTATAAAACAAATCAGATTAATTTTAAAACCCTTACATTGGGTAAAAGAAGTCTAACACACACTCTTTAAATTTACTTCTATAAAATTCTGTATAGTGAATACTAATCTAGAGTGACAAAAGTCATATCAGTAGCTCAGGAGCAAGGTAGTTATGTATTAACAAGAGACCTGAGATGACATTTGGGGATGATGGGAATGTTTTGCTTTCTAATTGTGTTGACACTATCTGGTATCATGAATATTCACATCTGTCAAAACTCATAAAATTGTGTACTTTAAGTAGATCCAGTTTTCTACTCAAATTATACCTCAATAACATTTTTGAAAATGGATTACATCATATCTTCAAATCAAAAGGTTAAAAAATCAGCTAAAGGTATAATAGAAACAAGTGATGAATTTTTCCAATAATCTGATCAGGAATCCAGGTCTGTTTCATGGATGATTGCCATTTAAAACACTGAATTTTGAAAAGCCCAATGAACAATGTGGTCCTGGAAAGGGTTTTGAAAGCAGAACTTCCTTCTAAGAAGAGGATTATTCACTAAATTCCCATCTGAACAGACACAAGATGCTAAGGAAAAAGCACTGTTGCTGGTCACTTTCTGGTTTCCCCAGAGACAAACAGCTCTGGCCTCAGTTTTCTGCCGAGGGCCTGTGTCCTCCACTGGGCAGGAGCTCCAGTGAGGGTAAGTCTAGGAGGAGTAGGAACATTCTGAGCCTGCACATCTGGCCAAACAAGGAGCAGGCTGCCCTTCATCTGTTACAGTAAGCTCTTCTCATATGCAGGGTCACCAGGCCACTCATGTTCAGACCCTCAAAGTTCTCCTCTGTGCATGCTGGAACCTTTCATTTTAAGTTGAGTAGTGAAAACCCCCTGAACTATGGGCACAGACAGTGCTGAGTATGTGTTTCTCTTTGATACAAAAGACCTACTCAGGATGACCACAGGGCTAGGCTCATCATCTCTGTCTAAGGAAAGGCACAACTCCCCCATATACCCTCAATCACTGAGGAAAGAAGGACAGAAACAATAGGAACACTGAAAGTGAGATGTTTTTAGCTGTTTGGGGCATTTCTGATTGAGGAAATCTTAGAAAATGTTAGCTCTTCCTCTGAATCTATTTTCACAGGGCTAAACACATACAGTCTAGGGTCTTAGCCCACCTTAAATGATTATCTATAAAATGGAATGATAATAGTTGCTGCATTATAAGATTGTGGCAAATACTCATGAAATAAAAACTGTAAGGTGCTCACTCGGAGTGATAACCAATATGTGGAAAGCACTCAATGCATAATATTACTTAGGTAGGAACAATTTGGGTTTCATGGTAAAGACAACTAACAATAAAAAGGTAAGAGTTCAAAAAAGGATTTGGGAAGGGACAAAGAATCAAAACAATATTTGAAACAGGACCTATTTTTTTTTTTTTTTGCAGCGTATGGAAATATCCGTATGAAACACTCAGTACCTACAAGATACCTTTATCTTGCCTTCTCAGGAAATCAAAAAAAATCAATTATTAACACTTCACAAGTCAACCAGTTTATCTCCAGTTTTCTCCTTGAGAAATATAGTGAGGAGGATTTTTTTAAAATTGCTTTCCTTTGTGTTTTCCGAGGCAGTAAGGATAGGCTTTCACATATAGCTGAGCAACAAATACAGAAAAGCACAAAGCTAATGAGACCAATCAATGGGATTTGTTCATCTGATGGGAGAAATTGCTGGGTGACTGAAGTTCACAGGTGATTTTAAATTGGATAGGCTTGTTATCCTCTGAGAAACAAGGAGGTAACTTAAAAATAGCAGTCTGTAGATTTTGCTTAAGAGGTGCAATGCAGCAATATATGAGACAAGAAAATACAGAACATTTCTGTGTATGTGGCACGGGAAGAGCCAAACTTAGTTACCAAACTAGCAGACCATAAGTTGACCAGAGTCAGCAGTGTTCATCGTCTTTATGTGTCTAAGCAGAAGCATGAAGTATCATTAGAGAGAAATCCTTCCCAAACCCTCAACACTGCCAACAATAAACTTCAGAATGTTATGTCAAGAAATGATCTGCAGGGCTGGGGGGATAGCTCGGCAGCTTAAGTATTTGCCTAGCAAGGGCAAGGTCCCGAGTTAAAACCCCAGTACTGCATGCTGTGGCTGGCTCCAGAACCCTGGGCACGCTATGCCAGCCCAAAACCAGGTACAATAGTACATGTCTGCAATCCCAGCTCTGGGAAGACAGAGACAAGAAGATCACTAGGAGTCCCAGCTGCATAGCAAGACCCTGTATCTAAAATTTTTTTAAAAAAATAAATAATAAAAATAGAAATGAGCCCCATATTTTCCCAGTTTATTTGGTATAAACTGTCAAGGAAGTAGAGAGAGACTTCAGAAAGGTTTGGGGTAAAGATGCAAATGAACACACACACACACAAGAAAAGTTTAGGGGGTTATTTGTTTGTTTGTTTATTTTCGTTTTTTCCTATTTCCAAAGAGAATCCTTCCAGGGATATAGCTCAGTGGCATAAATGCCTACCTGGCCAGCACAAGGTCTCAACTTTGATTCCTGGTGCCAAGGGAAGAGAGAGAGAGAGAGAGAGAGAGAGAGAGAGAGAGAGAGAGAGAGAGAGAGAAAGACCTATTTTGTTCATCTTTTAAGGCAATATCTACCCTTCTAGAATTTATTAAAAAATATGAGAAACACAAAACCACCACAATTAGGTACCTACCAGGCGATCTTGAATTTTATCTACAAGGGTTGGATCACTCAGTAGTAGGACAGGTTCGCTGGATGAATCTCCAGATATCAAACGAAGTTTAGCTTCGTTGACTACAGTGGAAAGTCCAATCGTGATGAATGATATTCCTGAAATTCTAGCGTCTTCAGATATAGTTTGAACATCTGGACTCTTGGGATGATCAATGCCATCTGTCATCAGCAAAGCCACTTTCACACCATCTTTGCGCCCTTCCCTCTTAAGTAGCCTTGTGGCATTGGAAATGGCATAATAGGAGAAGGTACCTTGTCCAATTAGATGCATAGACTTGGTCCTCTGCTTAAAAGTCTGCAGGTCTTTCCAAGAAGAAAAAGGTGGATCAATCTGGACAGAGCTGCTAAACTGAAGGGCTGCCAATTTGATGTCATATTTCAAGGAGCGACCTGGGATCAACTGGAAAATTTTGTCGCTCAAATGAGCCACAAAGTCTTTCTGCTTATCATACAGAAGAATTTTAGAGCTTTCGGAACTGTCCACAATGAAGACAACATCTATGAAGCAAGTGGAATCTGAAATGAAACAAAAAGGTTAGACAACACAATGGTCTCTGTCATGGGTCCACATTGCATAAAGTGGGTCCTGGCTTGGTGTGTTGTGTGCTGTTTGTTACTGGGAGGTCAGTGTGTTGTGTATTCCAGACACCCTGAGTGAAGAGAGATCATCTTGGAGACAAGGCTTACCTTAAATCTCTTTCCAAATCTAAGACATCTTTACCATTTTCACAATCAAGCAAATCAAGCAAGCAAATCAACAAAATATCATTTCTCAGCATTTCCTCAATTTTAAAACCACTTAAAATGAGAGGAAAAGAAAACCTGTCACATTTTAAGAATTCAGCAAACATGAGGCAAAGTTGTCTAGAGTTAAACAAACAACACTCTGATTCTTATATTGTATTCATATTAGTGGGTCCCCACTTTGTCCAATTGCTGTTGTTGTTTTTAACTTTATTAAAATCAAGGTTAAAATGACCATACAGCATTAGACCCCCAAAAGGAAAAGAAACTTCTGAAAACAGAGAAATTAAGTTTGAAGCATAGCTCTGTTTCTTTTTAATTTGCTTATGGCCTTAAATGTGCCACTTAACCTTTCTAAGCTTTATTTTCTGTATCTGTGAGAGTTGGCAGTATCAGGCCTGCCTGCTTTACACGTGAGGCTCAAACACTACAATAAATTCATGAGTGCTCTAACATCACTGATGTGTCTCTAAAATGCAAGGTGTATCAGGGTAGCACGTTGCAGGTAGGCGTGTACACAGCTTGTCATTTGCATCAAACAATAGTACTTCACAGCCTTTTGGCTAGTGTGAAGGTCATTGAGAAATGACAAAACATACCAATATTTTAATAGGATGAATACTAATAAATAAAAACTATAACAAACCCTTTTTTTTACCCTGGAAGTCACTTTTTCTTGCAAGAGAATTTGGCTTTGGCCCTTTCCTTCTCTGTCCATCTACCGCAGGGCTCAGGAAAGACAGCCAGAGCAGGAGGCAGGGGGCAACACGTCTGCTCCACATTACAGCAGGCAGTGAAAAACCATCTGCCTGGGGCACCTGGAAACAGAAAACTCAGTCATAAATATTTCAATAAATGTGCTCTTTTTAAATGTCCATCTTATAGAATCAAATACTAGCAGAAAGAAGTTTTCATATAGATTTCTAAAGAACCATTCACATGGATACTTTATTTTTAATTTGTTTTTACTAGTACCTGTTTGTAATGCATAATGATTCTACTCACTGTGGGCTGTCGGTCCATGGACATAACACATCTTAATTCTTTTCACACCCTCCTCCTATCTCCCCTCCACTTCTCCCTGCATCTCCTGGTTCCCTGTCCATTTTCAGAAGACCTATCTCACTGTTTCCTTGTATTTATTATGGAGAACCCATCCTAGTCCTACTGATCCTTTTGTGGCCCAACAAGTTTATATTTGTAATCCATGAGGAAGTTATTGGAATTATAGTGAGTTGATTCCAGTCTACGATGTCCAGGGTAACTCGTGGCAAGAATAAAGGCACTAAGGCACATCTGTCGTTCTGGAGAGCCATGGAAGCCTAAATCCAGCTATCATGAGGGCTGTCCAGAACCAGGGCCTTGCTCAATGCAAGGCTGAGTGCAGGTTTTACTAATCTGTGAAGAAGGGGGCAGCTTGTGGATGAGTGACTATGGGAAGCCCATTAGTGCTGAGAGCTGGGCTAGGCAGGACGCATGAAATCACCTCTGCAATGCACATAGAGAAGAGGATGCAGGAAGCGAAATCGAAATCGCATGACACAACAAGGTAGTAGGTGACGCCTGGGGTGCCCCAGCTCTGCTCTAGACTCTTTCATTTCCTGGGAAGGCCTAGCCTCCTACTCCAGGTCCAATCTCAGCTGACAGGGAGGAGCACAGCTCTCGTCCCACCTCAGCTCAGACATGTCTTACCTGAGGCCCACAGGGGATGGAAAAACACTGCCCAGCTGTCTTTGCTTCAAAGACTGCGCCCCAGCACCTCCACCTTGCTTCACAGATTTGCACTGCTTATCCCAACTGAAGAGATAACAAAAGCCCTAGCCAGCTCTGTACATTTTAATACTTGGTCCTAGGGTCATGTTTAGATAAAATGCAGATAATCACTCTTCTTTCCTGGAGAGTTGTCCAGGTGGTCCTCCACAAGCTAGTTTTTATTTTGGTCTTCATTTATACTTTAGGTTTCTCATACCAGAGAAACCATATGGTATTTAAACATGTGTGTCTGCTTTATTTCACTTAACACTGTGGTCTCAAGTTGTAGCCATCTGTCTACAAATAACAAATGTATCCTTCTTTATAGCAACATAGTACTTCATTTTATATAAATAGCACATTTTCTTTATCCATTCATCTGTTGATAGACGTACAAGGCCACCTCCAAGTTTTATCTATTCTGAAGTGTGCTACAATGAACATGAATATGCACGTACCAGCGTAATGTGGGGTCGTCTTTATCGCTTTCTGAAAGAAGCCAAGAAGAGGAAGACAGCTAGCTCAAATAGGATTTCTAGTTCTAGTGTTTTGAGAAACCTCCGTACTGATTTCTCTAGTACTTGGGTTTGTTTGTATTCCCACCAACAATGTAGAAGGGTTGCTTTCTCTCCACAGCCTCACTAGCATTTGTTATTGTTTGATTTCTTGAGGAGACACATTCTCTCCAAAGTAAAATGGAATTTCAAAATGTTATTTTTGTTTGTTTTTATTTTGATTTCATCAGTGTTATTTGAATTTGCATATCTCTAATGGTTAGAGCTGTGCAATGTGTTTTCATGTATCCAGTGGGCATTTGTACTTCTGAGAAGTGTCTCATTTCAATTGCCCATCTTTTGACTGGGCCAGATTGAGACTGCAAGTTTCTTATTCAAGTAAATCATAGCACTGTGACCAAACACTTATTAGTAAACATATCTATATATTCAAATAGCTACAGTCAAGTAATCTTAATTTCTCATTACATTATAAGAAGCAAGGAGTGAGGAGAGCCATTTAAGAACATTTCAGTCCCACTCTGTATGGAAAATGTGAAATCCCAGCATCTGTTTTGACATCTCCAGGGTGAACTCTCTACACAGTGATTCTCCAAAGGGAAGGAGGACTGTAACATGGTTGTTTTACTCATTTGTGTTATAAATCACTCCTGAAAAACTCAACATGTTGCAGTATTGTAGAGAGAGGTCAAACTAAAAATTAAATTATCCTTCTGTCTCCATATACTTCATTTTTTTTTCTACTCTGTCTTTGGAAAGTTTGCCCCCAGCAGAGCACCAAGCTAGCAACTGCATATCCAAAGGATGTGAGACTAGAAATAATACTGTTCTTCCAGTGTTTGCCACAAGGCTTGACAGAAAAAGATCGGCAGGCAGAAAGTACCCCCATTCACAGTCATAAGAAACTTTTTCTGGGTAAATTATTGATGAAAGTTCTAAATCTGCGTTAAAATCTTCAATCATCTTCATCAGTCAATATGCCCAGCTCTACACCAAACCAGTTTTATTTTTTTATTTATTTTTTTGTTTTCCTTTTTATTTATTATTTATTTTTTAATTTTTTGCCATAATTTTATTGATAAACAAATAGCAATGACCAAACCAGTTTTAGACCTCAGAACTTTCCTAACAAAAGAAGACTGGTATGTTGGAAGCTCAGTATGTCCAAGACAATGGAAAGGAGCAAAATTTATTTGAACCAATATTCAGCATGGTTTTGAAATGTTTTCATGCTTAAACCATATTGAATTTAGGAGCTCTGGAAAAGGAATCACATTTCCTTCTTTGGCATCTTGCCTTCAGAGAATATGAAGGGGAAACTCATGAGCATGATTTTTCCAGGCTCTAAATAGAAGGTGGAAATACATGCAAAGGCAGTGAGGAGTAAAATGCGAGACTGACCTCTTTCATAGTTGCCAGATGGATAAACCCCAAAAAGAAGCAAAGCTGTGGGGCTGGGGACAGAGCAATGGATGGGTTTAGGTCATAGTCTACTCCTCAAATAACACTGTTGAACAGAGTTTTTTAGGAGAACTTCGCTGCTATATAACGAAGCATTTCTGCTGGCAAATGTATCAAGTGTAATTGGTTAAATGCCAGTTGACCTTCAGACCAGGTATGCTAAATGCTAAAGACAGCTGGCTATTTATAAGACAAAGAAAAATCTGTGCTAGTGACATAGAATACATGAAGGACATCCTTCCTCAGGTAGTCCTGTTGCTTACCAAAGAGAAGAAGACAAAGGACAACAAATTTAATTCTGAAGATCAGTGTAAAGATAAGGCTATTAACAACGTCAGGTGCTATTACACTTTCAAAGGGAAAAAAATTCAGTGATACCATGTCCCTGGTGTTACACAAGATTTTTATCTTTGGTTAAGTTCATATCGTCACGAGCATTTCTGAAGTTCCAGGAATAAAAGCCAGCAAACTAAATTTCATTAAGAACCAGAGAAATTTTATAAGCTACATGATGGAGCAACTCTTCGAAAACCTAAAGAATGTGATTTCCGTGTAGTATCCCGAGAAGAAAATCACTGTCTGCTCCTTTGTGGGTCTCTTTTGGGTCTTTGGAATTTTGAGCTTCAAGTAGACATTGTTTCCTTTAAACTAAGCACTTGATCATGCAGGCTTGTTGGCATGTAATCAGGAACTCATACCTGAACCTCATATATGATACTTACTAATGTAATTTATCTAACAGCAATCATCCTAGTATCTTATATTGTATCACTGTCTTTCTGACCATTTTTGCATAGCTCTCCCAACCCAAAATCTTGCTGTTCCTTTCAACTTCCCTACTGTATTAGAAAGTCATTCTTGCACAGTTTTTCTCTAATGTTTTAGTTCCTCTGCCTTCCTGAATTCTTTCTCCTTGTTTAGCTTGGCATCACGGAAGCCTACTCCTTTCTAACTAGGTTTTTGCTGGGTTTCATTCCTTCTGTTTTTAATAATTCTCACCTTCCTTTTAGATTTTATGTGCAAACAAAATGGGCTCTGGGGTGAAAATACCATCAGTTAAATAAAAATAAATGTAAACCCCTATGTTTATCATGGGTTGGTTTTTATCAATGCACAAGCAGTGGTGACCTTTAGCCAAACACTATATTTTTATTTCAATTGTATTTTAGGTAAATATTGGGATTATATAAACCCAAGCATACTTTGCAATGTTTCAAACATAAAATTATCCCTCTTTACCAATTTTATTGAATATTGACTAAGAGTTTACCAATTTTAGTCAGTGTTTGCATCTTATTTGTTTCTATACGAGGTTAAAATGACTGACTAAAATCTTTGTTCAAAGTACCAAGTTCCCCAAATTATATTCTCTAATTAACCCTGAATAACAAAAACTTAATTCTAATTTCTTAAATGCCCCAAAAGATATTAACATTACTACCAGGCAATTAATCATATTTATCTAATAATTGATTTAAAGTAATAGCAAAGATAAAAAATGTTGACAAGCTTTGTGTGCGGGATAAGCTCATATATCGTTTAATATTTCCCAGACCCTAGATGATCCTTGTTTATTTACATAATTAAAATAAAGCAGTTTATCATCTTACCTTATAAAGTTTGTCGAACAGGAAGTAAAGACTGGCTGAGCAAATGCCCACAGCAAGGACTATTGTTAAGGATGGAGTTAATTACTGGACATTGGTCTGTTCCTCGGGAAATAAAAGTTGTCTTTCCTTTGCATCCTTTGCACTCTTTGATTCGTGTTGATTAGACAAAGTTAGAGCAAGAGTGTGAGGCATCTGGCCAGGGTGCAAGATCTGGGTGGTATCCATAGGCAACTTAAAGGCCCAGCGCCCCGCAGAGTAAGTCTGTGTTTTCCTGACAATCGTAATAACCTGAGAAAACTGTCTACGAGCTCAGCATCCACTGACGCTGTTTTTGTTTCTCGTGGCATGTCATCCTCCTTTGATTCCTATTTTCTCTTTGCCAAACATATGCTCTGTGAAGGAATAAAGTGACACCAAACTCAGAATAAACACTGACTTTTCCAG